ACTATGACCATGACCCCCTCCTTCTCTCTACCCCAGTGACCAGCTCTCCCATGCTCTCCCACTTGAGAATCTGCCACCACCATTCCCCACCTGTCACTGCTTCAGGAGAGGGTAGGGAAGGTGGAGAAGGAAAGGAAGAAGCAGAAGTCCTCGAAAAGGCATCAATGCTTGTCCAGTATCACTGGCTAAACGAAATCACATTCACTTCAGTGAATATTTTTGAAATTTTCCCGTTTTCCATATTTTGATACAGGACCTCCAGGAATTGGTGGGTTACCAGGATACAATGGATCAGATGGACTGCCTGGTCCCCAGGGCCCAAAAGGCGAAAAAGGAGCAAATGGAAAAAGAGGAAAAATGGGTATTTTGACAGTCTTCTAATTAATTGCCTTGTTTTTTGTCTCCATTTTTTTTAATTGAACTATAGTCGGTTAGAATGTGTCAATCTCTGGTGTACAGCATATTGTCCATACATATCCATGATTGCTTTTTGGATGAGCCAAAGCCAGTACAGTGGGGATAGCACAGCATCTGGGCATGCAGAGCTGGCTAACTCTGGCCTGGAAGCTGCTGTGTTCCGGGGTGGCAAAGGCCTTCTCTGTGATCCCACACTGATGAAGGTTTATCTCCAACTAGAGAAGCAATCTGCCTGGGAACTGATGTCTGCTTCTCTGCTTGCTCTGACGCAGACAGAGAGATGGAGGGGCAGGAGTGGACATCCCCGGGGAGGAGCACTGCCTGAGCTGTGATGGCTGTATGTGCTGATGCCCCAAGTTCTTTCAAGGGTGATTTCCTGCCCTGCCCTCTCACTAACTCCTCCTGCCCAGCAAATTGTTGTGTTTGAAGATCAGTTGGCTGATGTTGACCCTAGGGTTTGCTGGCTGGTGGAATAGCTAGAATGATTGGAGTAGAGAGGCAGCATCCAGGCCTCCCCGAGGCTGGCTCAGGTCATGCAGTCAAGGTCTCCTGTCCAGGGGCCACAGGACAATTACAGAGATGTGGCTGGCATGTCCAAGGGACTTTCTGTCCCCTGCCATAAGCAGTGGCATTGTCACTACTCAAGCAAAGGCTTGGAAGCGCCAAGATACCAGTTGTGTCAGAGAGCAGTGAGAGGCAGGGGCTCATGCAGGGCCTGACAGGTGGCTGGGGGCTGGGGCGGGGCGAGTTCTGAGGGGCTCTGAGCACCAGTCCTGGGGAGTCCATGGAGAAGGCCAGGCAGAGTCACCTGAAGAGAGCTGGCGTGTGGCACAGCAGAGGCTCGAGAGCAGGGGTAGAGACCCCTCGGGAGGCTTCAAGGGAGGCCCAGCTCTTAGCCACTGCAGAAGGTGGAGGCACCACCCACCATCTTGTTTACTTCGAACCTCTTATTTCTGTTGCCCAACTCATCTGGACAGGCCCCAGGCTAGAAGTAGTACTAGAACACTCTTGCAGACAACACAGTAACCCCTTCCAGCATCTCTGCTCTTATTCCCATAAACAATTTAAGTGAGAGCCAGTGGAGAGAAAGAAAATTGCCACTTGGCACTTGGCAGAAGCCTACATGCCTGTGTTCCCGGGGACAGCCTCTGTGAAGATGGTCCCACACAGCCCATGTCAGCTCAGTCCCCAGAAAGTCAGCAATTACAGCCTGAATTGTGGGGCACGATGGACCCTCACATGTCAGATAATAATCATAATTATAAATGAACACCAGCATCAAATAACGATGGCCATCAGCATGCAGACACTTGGTTTACCCCAGAAGATGCCAGAAATGTGATCCAGTCCTGAGGATTCAGTAATGAGTATGATGAGGGCCAACTATAGGGGAAGGGGACAACCATGCAGCACTGGGCATGGGGCAAGTGAGAAAGGGATGGTTTCCAAAGAGGTTTGAGACAGACCCCTGGCTGTGAGGAGATGTACTTAGCAGGCAGCGCACAAGCCAGGGAATACAAAAAAGAAAAAGCTCATTTATTTCTGTAAGACATATTCATGTGGCAGGTACCATGCTAGATGGTAGAGATCCAGAAATGAAAGAGCTAACACAATCTCTGCCTTCGTGAGGCTGACATTCTAGTCTGGGCAGATGACAATAAACAAGATATGTAAGCAGAATATACTGACCTTTAGTTACACGGTGCTAAGTGCTAAAGAGAAAAACCAGAGTGAGGGGAGGGGCTGAGAAGGTTGTGGGGCTGGGGAGCGCCTGGAGATTGGGAGGCCAGGTGAGGCTGCCTAAGAAGGCACCTTTGACCAAACACCTGGAGAAGGGGCGCGCCCAACGAGAGGGTTCCAGAGGAGTCTGTGCACCAGCGGAAGCTGAGGAGCAACAGTGAAGCCAGGACTATGGACAGAGAGGCTGAGACGTGACTGTGGCCAAGCTGAGACCAGAGCAGCAACAAGGCCAAACCAGGTTGGCCCTGGGCATTTTAAGAACTGAGGTTGGCCCTGGCAGCTGTGCTGAGGGAGGCCGCAGGAGGGAAGGGAGGAGGCCTGGAGCGGGAGACAGCCGCGGAGGAATGAGAAGGTGCCGGATTCTGTTTATGGATAAAGGCTGGCCAAATCCTTCACTTCCTGGAGATCCCACAGGAGCTGCGGCAGAGACCCAGACCCTCCTGTAGCCATCTCCCAGTGAAGGGGCCTCCTGGGATCAGCAACATTAGAACAAGAAGCCTCCACTAAGGCTGAGAATAGAACTTGAGTCACCAAGGGTCCCAGCCAGGCCCCAGTGGGGAAGGGGAAGACCAGCTACCATCCTAGACGTTTAAAGGCAAAGGGTATTTGAAAAGCCTGGCTCTCTGGATAGGTTGTTGGAAGCCCTGCTCAGCCGTGGGCCAGCTCAGATTCTAGCCTGGACCATGAGACTCCAGAGCAAGGGCTGTGCTGTCTCTGTCACCCTGCCAAAGCCCCAGGGCTGTGCTTTCCCTCCCCTGCCTCCTTCCTGAGCCCAGGATGGGTTCCCATCCCACCCAGCAATCAGTGTAATTGCCGGGAATGGGAGGATGGACCAGAGCTGGCAGGGCCACAGAGGGGAAATGGCTTTATCCTGGGTGCAGTGAGAAGCCACAGAGGGGTTTCTGCGGCTGCTTTGTGGAGGACACCCTGGAGCCGGCACACGAGTGGAGACAGGAGATGGTTCAGAAGCTACCAAATGTGCAGGCGAAAGGGACGGCAGGCGGGGTTGTGGAAAGGCCGATGGAGCTGAGTGCCATTTTGGGGTGAATCAGCAGTCCCTGCTGGGAGGCAGATATAAGGAGGAGGGGGAGGGAAGCACCAAGACTGACTCCAAGGTCTTTGTCCTGCCTGACTGCTTGTCCCTGAAGTGGGGAGCCCCAGACAGACTTCGTTCCAGGGAGACAGTCACGTCTCAGCATGGGATGGGCTGAGCTTGAGATGCCTTTAGATGTCCAGGAGGAGATGTCAGGGGGCTTTGGAGATGCAGGTCTGTAGTGGGAGGAGACCCCAGGGCTGGAGGTGTACACAGGGAGTCACCTGAGGCAATGGGCTTTTGGGCCAGGGCGTGGTCCACTGGGGAGCGAGCCACCAGGAGAGGAGAGCCTGGGCTGAGCCCTGAGAATTGACAGCATCTGGTGACCAAGTAGAAGGGGATGAGCCAGCAAAGGAGGCCAAGGACAGACTGAGCAGCCGGAGGAACACCAGGAGAGGGTGGGAACATTCGGCAGCATTTCCTGGGCAGGTTCCAAAGTGCTAGCGGGGAAACAAAATAGATGCAGCCCCTGTCCTGGAACTTCCCGTCTTTGATGGGGAGGCTGACATAAATAGTCAGCAGTCACACACCTGTCATCACAAATTGAGACGCAGGTTCAAAGGAGAGAACAGGGTGTTTGAGGTGTTGTGCAGAGAGGGAGGGTCGGCAGGTGACGTCTGGGGTCAGACCTGAAGGATGAGGGTTAGGCAGAGGGTGGCCCGGGTGGAGAGCGCACGCCTATAAAGGCCAGGCCAGTGCAGTGAGGGCCGGAGCGCGACGAGGCGAGGCGGGAGGCCGGGGCCAGGCCCTTCCAGAACCTTCAGGTTAGTGGTTTGGGCCTCCCTGTCAGCCACAGGGTCTCGCACAGGATGTGACTGCTGGGCCAGGGTGGTGGCCATGGAGAAGGATGGGCCGATGTTTCAGCTGAGAGTTCCGGGATCATTAGCGGTTTGCCAGGCAGGGGTGGGAGAGGGGAGGAGTGGGAGCGCATTCCAGAAAGAGGGAACAACCAGTGCTGTTTCCAAAAAGGGAGAGAAGGGGCAGGACTCGGTTAGGCCGGACTGTGCCCTCTAGCAGTGAGCCTCTGAACAAAATAGTAAAAGCTGACATTTACTGTTGGGCATCTGCCAAGTCCTCTCTGCACTTACCCTCACTTAGTCTTCACAGTAGCCTCAAGGAGATGGATATTTTTGTTAGCGTATTTTTTCCAGATGAAGAAGCCTTATCTTCCTGCTTCCCAGATAGGACAGGCCCACCCTGGCCCCAGGGCCTTTGCACTGCTGTACTTCTTCCCTTCCTGTGACTGGTTCTTCCCATGGTGCTGATCGTAGCTAATATATCACCTCTTCTTCCAGATCATCCCTGACCTCTGTGACCCGGCCTCATTGACTCTGTCACATTCCCCGTTCCCTTCCAAAACATATATCCTTCCCTGAAATTTTCTCCGTGGGTTGTTTCTTGATGTGTTGATGGTCTGACTCCCTAGGGAGAACGTGAGGTCAAGTGAGAACCCGGCCATGTCTGTCTTGCTTAGTCCCGACCTCCCGAGCCAGAAACACCCAGCAAAGGAGGGCAATCAAGACACTGTAAACTAACAGAAACAACTTGTCCAACATCCAAAGGTAATAAGTGGAGGAGGCGGGACTTGAGTCAGGTCTGACTCCTGGACTCCTGCTCTTAAACATGACTACACTAAACTCCCCGACTTGAGGGGTCTGGGCCTGAGCTGTGAGAGCCATGTTCCTGGAGGTGCCACACAGCAGGAGAGGGCAGGAAACCTGGGCCTGGAGAGCTGATGCTGTTACTTGTCGAAGGATGCTGCTGAGCCCGACGCTGAGCCTCTCCGGAGGGGGGGAGGGCGACAGCCCTTCAGAAGGCCCACACGACACGTGTGAAAACTCACAGTTCAATGAGTGATGACCTGCCAGGCAGACAGAACCGTCCCTGCTCTCGAGGCAGAGGGGAGATGTGAAAGGACTTCTGGGAGTACCTGCCTCAAGCCCAGACTGGCTCTGAGGCCCTGGGCAGGTCACTCCAACACTGGACTTGGTCTCCTCATCTGCCCGCTGAGGAGGTGTGGTTCCAGCCCCTCTAACACAGTTTCCAGTTTTTAACGAGCCTGCTGTAGGGTTTGTCTGTGAGGGAGAGACTAGGTCTTGTATATCCAGTTG